GATGGTTAAGTGGTTGGGAGCAGGATTTGTCTTAGGATTTTCCCTAAAGAGAGACATTGGCCTGTTTGGCAGAATTGGTTTGTTCAGGGCGAGGAATAAGGATACGTGCAAACAGAATCTGGGGAATCCAGGAGCTTGAAGGAGAAGATCAGAGAGCTGGAGGAGAGTGTAAAACTGGTGATGGGAGGGTTGTAGAGACAGAGGAGGCAATGGCAGGGCTGGGCCAGGTCTTGGGAGGAGAAGCAGGGAGTAGAGGAGTTGGGGATTGGGGACAGGGCAAGGCAGAAGGTGGTGGGAGGCTCAGGGTGACAGGCAGAGGACGCACAAGTGCTGGGAGCGTGGTGACAGGGAGGGAGTACATGAGAGCGTGCTGGAGGAGGCCGGTGCTGCCTGCAAGCCGTCAGTACCTCTCCTCACTGCAGGCACATACGTGTCCCAGCCGCTTACATTAGAAACCTGACTGGTGCCAGTGAAGAGCCCACTTACGCCCAGGCCTCCATCTGATGGCTCTGCTGCCCGGCCAAGGCCTTGCACCATCCCCATGGGGCTGTAACAGCCTTGCTGCTGCTCCCCTTCTGCTGTCACCCAAAAGCAGGCTCCTTCTCTGCTTCTCCTCTCCTCCCCTGAGGTGAGCTGGAAAAACGGTGGTGGTCAGTGCCCAGGGCCCTTCAGGAGCAGGAATGGCTGAATCAGTTGGAACTAATTGAAAATATGCAAAGAGCAGCAGGATTTACTGCCCGGTCACCTAATCCCACCACTTAGGACTGACCCACTTGAAGTCACAGCGTGTGACAGAATGACCAAGCAATGAGGACAGGATTACAGAGCCCCAGATGAGATTTTGCTCCTTGGTGGGGACGCAAGCTGCTGGGGGCAGGGAAAAGATCTGTGTTGAGCACCTAGCAGGGATAATCAGACCAGATATCCAATGCTCCGTCTGCTTAGAGTGCACCAAAAATAGACTCTCCAGAGAGAGAGAAAACACCCAAGCAAGCCAGCTGGGCAGACTCAGGGTACTTGGGACACTGACAGCTCCTCAGCCCGTAAAATGAATTGGCACAGGTTTGTGCCAGTCTTAGCACAACTGTGGCTTCAAAACAAAACAGAGCAGGGGAAGGGAGACAAGCCTGCTGTTGGCTAACTAAAGCTATAGGCTATTTAAGATATTTAAGGGCCAGGGGATCAGATATAAGTAAGGAAGGTGTGGCTGCGTACAGCTTGCAGCATCTTAGCTTGTGGTAAATACGTAGGTAGCAGCCTGTCACAGACAAATGGTAATCAGAGAGCCAGCCACATCACGCTGCATGGATAAAAAGAATGAAGAGATGAGCCTTGCCCAAAGATCTTATCACGAAAGACAAAAGATCATGATGGATCCCGTGGGAGCACAAGAAGATCAGTTACCACAGCTCAGAGACAAAGGCGAGGACAGGGCTACGCACAGTGGGAGACATCATCTCCAAGTACAGAAGCCTTTAGATTTAAGCTAATTTACTGAAAACGGGTCTGTACAGAGTACACTTTCAGCCCAGCAGCTCACTGTGTATTTGCCACCAGAAGTTGCTCATTTGCAAAGTCTGAGGGTCCATTTCTTAATACAAAAGCATCTTTTCCTGTCCATTAATCCAAGCGAAGCAGGAAGAAGACAGATCCTCACATTCACTTGCTGGTAAAAGCCACATTTTCCACGGGAGCTGCAGGAGCTCAGTGCTTCTGAATGTATGGTCATCTCTCTCATCTCTATAGGATCCAATTTTAACACGATCCATTAAAGGCTGAAACCCAATTAACCAGTTCAGGGCTCACTTTCCCATCTATACTCAACACAGGCTAGCCAGACACCCTTAAACCTTGGCACTGGGAAAGCCAGGATAAGCCTTAGAAATAGTATTCTCTTTCCTCCCTGGAAACTTCCCCCTAAGGACAGCACTGCAGTCTTGCCTGGCACCTGTCAGCTCGAAGTGTTTTCCAGATAATTAGTCATTTAAACTTCTCTCAGCAAGATAATCTAGCTCTGGTAAACCTCCTTCTCAAGTGAGAAAATAAGGGCGTTGCTGTACATTTAACAGCAGCTGAAAATCAGGACAACAGAAGCTGTCACCCCCCGAACCTGCTTGTACAGCTCCTCTCTTGGAAACAACAGCAGGGACAGCTAAATGGAGACATGTCCACACCTGACCCATCACACTTCACATCCTGAATACGTGAGGAACCCCAGCTCAGCACTTCTGTACTGCAACACATCAGGCTGTAAGTCACAGCCATTCAACTCTCCCTGCCCGAAAGACAACGAATTCAGTCTAGGAAGGGCAAGGGACCAGAAGCTGCTTTAACCACTCCTGACTATTACACCATGAAGAGTGTAAACGTATTAAAGGTGTGGTCCCATGAGCAGCAGAGTTAATCTGTCTGCTTCCCATGACCAGGAAGGGAAGATCTTGCTTTCCTTTCCTCCAGCCATACTCCTCACAATGCAGTTCCGTCCCTTCCCTTGTGCTGGCTCAGGCACTCGAGGCACATTTGTGGGCTCAAAAACCAGTATTCTCTTTCTTTCTCTTTCTGGATTAGCTTTCTGATAGATTAAACTGAGGAGGTCCAAGGAGCTAGTGCACAGTAACCCACTAGGAGCAGGAGCGTTACCACATTTTGGAGGCGAGCTGTCAGATCAGCTCACCCTGCCTCTTGGATCTGCACCCTGAGGCACACAGAAGCAACCAGCTTGCTGGAGGCCACATGCCGAGGTAGTGAAGGAAGCCAGGAGTCCTATTTTTCCTCACATACTCAGAGTAATTTAAATGTCAAGGTTGAAGCAGTCCTTGGTCTGCTTCAAAGCAACAGTCCTTGCTTTGTTATAAAAATCAGTCAATCAATTAATCAATCCAATAACAACCTCTTAATCTTATCAACAGATCATTATCCACCTCCCCCAAAGTACCATGCAGGAAAGACTCTTCTGGTCCATTTACAGGTTGCAGTGTCTTAACTGTTTTCTCTCAAGTTAGGCTGGCAGATGTGCATACAGCAATACTACACAAGTCACAAAGTTCCTTTCTTCCAGCACTGAATGGGGAGCTTCATTAACTCACACAAAACAATGGCTTCCTTGTATCCTGGAGACTCTTCTCCCTTCTACCCAGCTTCCCACTGCCACTGGAGCCACATTTCAAGCCAGTGAGATTCTTAAGAAAAACACAAGAAAAGCAGAACAGTGGGAAGAAAAACCATGGTGCTGACTGTTCATTCAGGTTGAAGAGCTGATGAAGACACTGTTGCAGTCCTGAGATGAACAGGTTGGCACTGTGTGTCTGGGCTAGTGTTGAGCTTCTTATATGCAGGAGCTACCCAAACAGGAGTCAGAGTTTCGGGATTCACACATACTTTCTCACTCTGTCCTAAAAACAGCTCTAGCACAGAGAATCTGCAGCACCTTGTAGGAAGGGGCTCAGAGCAAAGGCAGTGCTGCAAAACAGGCATTCCCAGAACCTATTTACGTCCATGGCGCGACTTCTTCAGGCTTACAGCACAGCAACAAAAGTGTTAAGTGTCATGGAGGCCTCACACAAATGTTGTTTTGTTGGGCATATAACACACGGCTTTGCCTTAGCTCCACATTTATCCCAGGCTTCAGTCCAGGTTTGGATTAGCCAGCAGTCCCTGGGTTAGCAGGGCCTCCCCACTGAAGAGCAACAGTTTAGGAGAACGACTGAGCCAGGCTTGACAGCCATAGTCTGCACAATGCTTGGCAGGGAAAAGGGAAACAATTTTTTGCTTTTCTTTGGAACACGATATAGCTTTTGCATATCCTTGCGATCCTACATGTGTATGGCATATCCCAGGGGCTCACCACTTCTATAATACCTTGCATTCAACACGCTTCATAGACTTTATGGTATTCGGCCTCCTAAGGATGTATTATGCATTTTTACAGAAGGTAAGGCCAAGACATACTAAAATTATGTGCCCACGGTCATATGAAAAGCAGAGAACAGAGGAAAATAAATTTCCTTCAACTCCCATTCACATGTTTTTCCTAATACCACTATCCACCTTACCCATATGTTTCTACTACCTTTTTACAAGAGGCATTGTATCTGACTGCATGAAAGCCACGTCTTTTATACAAGTCTTGCCCCCAAAACACAAGGGTTTAGTCACTGTGCACATCTACCGTAAACCACGATAATCCATAGCCAGAGAGCAGGACCACAAAATGCAGTTATCAAGTCCTTGCAGCTTTTATGCAAGCAAAGAAACAGAGATAACAGCTATTTTCTGGTTCTGGCTCTAAGTCAGGAACAGAGTACAGGATACACCTCCTCCTCAGACGAGACCACTCATCCAACATCTATTCGTTCTCCAAAAGCAACTAATGCCACTTCCCATTCACTTTTACATAAACATGTCTCCACAGAATTACACAAGGAATGTTACATGTAAGCCTTACAGACAAACTTTTAGCCTTCATGAACTTCAGATTACATCTGCTTTCTGTCAGTACCCAAATTATAGGTCACTAGATCCTCCAGACTTCTTAACAATTCAGCACAACTGACAAACTGGGCTTCAGATGGCCCTTCCCTTCACTGCAGAAGGTGCTGACAAAAAAAAAAAAAAAAATTTCCCTGTCAGGGTGTTAACTGTGTTCATCTAACGTCAGCATCTCTCATGGGAAGCACGCTCCTATTTTGACAGTGAAAATGAAGAGGCACAGGCTGCGATCAACAGCATTGCTAACATTGTCACCTGGGTACTAAATCCTATGGAAAATATAAAATTCAACAGAGGCCTGAGGCAGACCCCAGTCTTAATCCTGCATTTCCAACCTCCTACAGGTTCATTAGGCACCACACTCACTGTCTGCATCCCAAGAGGCACCTGTGTGGCTGGTGAATGGGAGATTGGGAGGCATGATCAAAATCAGTGAGCGAATCCCTATCCTCACCGTCTCTCCCCCTCCACACTATGGCTGCTGTTGGCAATATCCTGACCCACACCTTTACCTTTGAAGCCGCCATGACGGCTGCCGTGGCTGCGACGTTCAGCCCCCGCTTCCCAAAGTGCACAAGGGCATCGTAGCTCCGGTCTTTTGCCTGGACGAGGCAGTCATCGATCTCCTGTCACAGCAGACAACAAAACAAACAAACAAAAAAAAAAAGCACAAGAAGGACAAGTTCAGAGTGCTCCCAGCCTCAAACTCTTGGCAGGGCCAGGTCATCTTTTATGGAGGCAGGCATCCTCCATTTCCTCCTCCTTGGCTGGAGAGAAGTTCACAGCCAATGTTTGCAAAGAGGAGAGGTGTGCAGGGGAGCAGTAACTCCCATTGCAGGCTTTGGGAACTCTTTTTTCTGCAAATGGAAGATTGGGACCCAAAGTTGGGATACACTTGCACAGTGCAATGACCACCAATAGGTCCTGGAAGCAAGACAGACACATCCACCTGAGCAGAATGGACCAGGGTGTGTCAGGAGCCATTTGCAATCTATGGACTCTATAGACAAACTGGATTGCCCCATAGTTAAAAAGAATCATATCATGACACTGGGCGGCAGCAGCTGTACTGCTCGGGGTCCAGAACTGGTGGTCTCAGAAGTATCTGAGATACCTCTGCACATCACTGCAGTGTCCAGCTTCAACATGCCTATGGGATCAGTAGGTCCAGAGCTTCTGGACTGCGATGCTGCTTAATATACAGCGAAACGGTTATGAAAATTCCTGCCCACACCCTCCCTCCCTCAAGACACTGGGGTCTGAATGATAAAGGATGACAATGACTCCTAGTACTCAGCTACTGGATGTGCTGGATTAGTAGGGACTGGAGGCTGCAAGAAGCTGCTGGCTGTTTAGTGATTCCCTCCCTATTCCTAGTAGGTAAGAGGTGGCAACCCAAAATGCACGAGCACTACTTCTGAGAAGCATAAGCAGAAGTTCCTAGGAAACAGAGAGACAGGGGACTGATCCCCACTGCCCTTGGACAGGACTGAGATACAAGTGTTCAGGCACTGCCTGTGACTAACCAGAGATCTTTCACTTCCACAGTTGCCAATGTGGGAAACAGTTATTGACTCCTTAGTAGTTTGCATGTTGATATGTGACTGATAGCTATTCTTGGCCCATGTACCCACATGAGCCAAATGTATCTGCCTGACAATGTCCCATTCACAGCCACAGGAATCTCCTAGGCAGGCAAATGATCCAAGCTGTAATGTCCCCCTCCAAAATTAGCATCATGAATTTGAGCAAGACATTTCTCAACCCAGGACCTCAACATGCTACAGCCCTTACTTCAGCATGCTATACACCTCCCAGCCAGGCAAGTGCTTGCTAAGCCCCTTTCAGACAGGCTTGGCTATTTGTCTCATTGTGGCACAATGTTTTAGGCAGAGCTGGGAACAAAGTTAAGGAGCCCTGGCTGCCCGAACCTGTTTCTCTAATTGTTATATCCAGCCAAAACATAGCACTCCAGCTATATTCAGCCAGTACGTGCAAAGCAGCTCAGGAGGTATTTTTATCCCCCCCTCCCTCCCAAGTGCACAAAGATGAGTTAATATGTGTGAGGGCGCTGAACAGATGACAGTATTTAAAAACACAACAACCACAAAGAACAAAAACACAAACCAGAAGATGATCAAATGACAGAGGAAGAGAATCAGGAACTCCCAGTCCTTCAATGAAAATGAGCGATACGAAGACTGGAGTAAACACACAGTAGATCCGCTCCACCCAGAGAGGACCCGGGCATCTGTGATTACCTTTTCTTTTGAAGACAGCGTTGGATGAACAAATTTCCTGTACAGGAGGCTGGAGCCTTTTGTGTATGGAGAGAGCAGCCAAGCTACAAAAGCTATTTTGAGTTCATAGTAGAATGGAAACCTAGAAGAAAAAGAGCTGTCAATGTCTGCTCCCAATTTAACCGCTGCCCTTAATTAGAGATGCTCAGCACAGGAAGAGACTGGCCAGTCTAGCACAGCGTTGGATGAACAAATTTCCTGTACAGGAGGCTGGAGCCTTTTGTGTATGGAGAGAGCAGCCAAGCTACAAAAGCTATTTTGAGTTCATAGTAGAATGGAAACCTAGAAGAAAAAGAGCTGTCAATGTCTGCTCCCAATTTAACCGCTGCCCTTAATTAGAGATGCTCAGCACAGGAAGAGACTGGCCAGTCTAGCTTAGGACAGCTTTTGCTTACCAAAGAATCCAAAGACCAAAACACATTCTCTCACCTTTGCACACATCTCAACCAGGCACGTGGGTAAATTGTTACTCATGTTTCAGGGCCATTATTTAACAGTCTGGAGGAGACTCTGCTGTGTGATAAGAGCAGCTTTCCACATGCAAAGAGCACAGATGCTGCCTTCACAGCATCCCCAGTCATTATGAGGGAGCAAAGAGCAAACCAGAAAATCACTATTTCATTGATATATTTATGCACCTTTCATCTCTCTGCCTTTCTGCTTTTAAGATAACACTTATCTGACTGAAAATGAAAAACAAGAACCTTTGTTGTCCAAGCAACGTGCAACATAAAGGTGCAGATCCACACTGTGGCTTTCAGGTAGCACTGCAAAATATGCAGGACACTGACTAACAACAGGACATTCTTTAGCTGTAACAACAAGCCAGGGACTTCTTGAGATTAGATTATTCAGACTCTTTTTCTGGAGGACAAAACCTGGAGCTCAAGGCTGTCCAGCTAGCAGCATCCTCACACAGGCAGGCATGTTGCTGCCAGCAGCATGATAACCCAACGCTACCCTTCGTAGGCAGGGGCAAGCGAGAGCAGCACAGAGACCTTGTGATGGCTGTGCACCAGCCCAGCTGGACCCAGACAGACGACTCCTGTGCTAGCACAGGGCTGTCACCGAGCCAGCTGGGCCATACAGCACCCAGGTCTGACCCGATGGGGCCTCTGCAATGCTTTACTCTGAGCATGGATTTGCCAGGTTGGTCTTCCACCTCACTGAGGATCTCTACAGCATACTTGATTTCACAGGCTGGACAAGCCCTCTTTGTCGTTCCTCCCTAGAGACCCACATAATACATCCTCCAAAAAAACAAAGCTCCAGATGAACACAGTGGAGGTAGATCTGCATGCAAATTAGACAAAGAGAGACAATAATGTCTTTTATCTCCTTTTCAACAGATCTGACATGTTACCAAGTACCCCCGATTCCCTTTGTCTGGAGGACTCACTAGAGGCATGCAGTGCTATGCAGGAACAGGCTTTAGGTGAAGGCCATGCACTACAGTTAAATTTTCAGTATGAAGTCTACTGATCTCACTGGTTTCCACTAGAAAGACCTTACTAAAAAGGGCAACCAAGCAACAAACATTTCCAAACTTGAGCATTCAAATTTAAGGAACTGTTATCTGTTAATTGGGCATTTATGTGCTCTCATCCTGACAGAGGTCACCAGGAATCCTTCTGCTGGCACCAGAGAGCCCACATGGGTATGGACTGTCACTGTCCTCCATCAAACCGTAAACCCAGCCTAACCAGGAACGGGCCTGGCAAAACCTCCCAGGAACAACCACCCGTGCAGCAACCTACAGGCAAAGTCCTGTGCTGCAGGGCTGTTTCTGCCTGATCCCTAGAGCCTGTGTATTTACTGTAGGACACAGCTAGGTAAGTCCAGAACTATGCCTGTAGCTAAAGCTACTGTTGTTTACATGATGATCTCTGCACGCATCCAACTTGGCAATCAGCTGCACCTCTCTCTGACAGGCAGGGGACTGAGACTCCTGTAATGATTGCTCACTAATGAGAAATGACTGAGCAGTTCCATCCTCTTTCTTGTTTTTCCTATGACAGCACTAAGAAAGGAAGCATGGCTCCTCCAGACAAAACACCTCTACGCACCTGAAGCTGCTAACCCCGTGTTCAGGAGGCAGTGCACCTTTGTGCCCTTTTTTTCCTCCTTGTAAACATTTCCATTTTCTTTCCATCTCATGCCAAAGACCCTCTCCCATCTGGTGCTCACCAGCAAAGAAAGATATCCGTGAATGTCTCTGCTGTCGTGAAGAGCGCGAATATGATCCAGTACATCATCCATTTGACCTGGTAGGCAAAAAGAGCAGCTGGGTCATTTTTCCCCAAGGGCCTCGAACCATCTCTTACAGGCACAAGAGCATAGAATAACTCTCACAGAAAAAAAGGCTCTTCCCCCCGCCACTGTGTATTTAACAATTACTATGGACTTGAAGATGCCAGAGCTCCCCCCAACCCCAGCACGTAACACACGTCAGATTTCCACACAAACCCTTGGGAAGGAAGATTGTGGCCTTTAGGATTTGTCTCATGAAAAGAAGAGCAGCCTGACTCTGTCCCTACAGAGGAAGCTCCACTGGCCAGCAGAGGACCACAGCCCTATCACAGGGCATTCAAAACCTCATTTGGCTCATCTTAATAACAAAGGTTAACACCAGGGTGTTGGTTAAATTGCAATTAAGACAAAATGTAATTACTTGCATAATACCTACAGGCATGGGAAACTAGCCAGGAAGAGATAAAGAGGTAACTGCCCATCCCATGAGCCAGGGCTCAGGAGCACAATCAATTCACCGCAACTTATTGAATTAGCGTGCATCACTTGAGTGGCGGTGCCTCCTCGCATCCACGCCCTGAGCCCATTGCAGTGACAAGGGCAAGTGCATTAGCTTAAATCCCTTACCTGGGGCTCAGGTGAGAGCATTTTACCTCACATTGGTAGTGAAAGCACATGCTGTGCTGTCGCTTGTGTTCAACTGTGGTAACTCCACTGTGGGGTGGACTGCTTGGTGGGTGATTTACGGATGGTCTCCTTTGCAGTGATAGCGACTGACACAGAAAGAGTCTTTGGGGACCATGACTTGGTCAGGGAAACTGTAGTATCTCGAGTAATTCAGGAATCTGGGGGTTTTTGTCACCGAGCACTAAATGGCATTTAAAAGCACAGCTAAACTATTCTGATGTATGCAGTATTGGTTCTTCTTGGGCTGGAAAGTAACAATGTATTTGCCACATGCCCTCAGCACTTCCAGTGATTTTTATCAAGTGATGTGGTGCTCCTCTTCTGCAGTACTGTCACCACAGAGATGATAGAAGGAATAATTGCCAAGTACTGGAGATGAGAGAGAAACCTTTTACTCTCCCCTCAATATTTTTTTTCCATTGTAAAACTGTAAAACTTAAAGTTCAAACAGCTTTGAGAATCTGTCTCTCCAAAGGAAAAGAGATGGTAAGACAAAAGTTAATTTAACTGGAAATTGTTGTCTAATTAGCTATATTTGAAAATGGAGATCCCTAAACAGCTTTGCTGGAATGTTAGAAAGCTTAAGGAAGTAAAATCCATGAAAATCCATCCATTAGAGAATTGGACCATGTTACTTAAGGCTGGGATAATTGCAATACAATAGGGAAGGCTGGAAAGAAGGCAGTACAAGAGGGATATCTATACCAGGTGCTGCTCTGGGGAAGGGAGGATGGAGGTGGCAATAAATCCGGATCTCACCAGCTCTGAAATGGCTTGCTCCATCTTCTCCCCAGTGCAGTGGGGACAGTACCTGTAGTCTCTCTCCATCTCGCTGCAGGTACTGAAATTATTCCCTGAGCACCTGTCACCCAGCTATATAACTGCTCCCTGGGATTTATATGTATATTTATACTCAGTGTTACAGCAGTAGAATGGCACTGCCAAATGCCCCAGAGCAGTGTCTTCCCAGGGCAGCTTCTGCCAAACGTTTTACGTAACTGCAACTCCCTCAAAGCCTCACTGCCAGCACGGTTCTGTCAGTGAGACATTACTGCCAGCAAAACTTTTAAACACAAACCAAGACCTGGTGTGGATGGGCTTAGATCAGCTTAAACCACCATTTATCAAAATGACTATTACCAAGTGGAATAAAAATAAACTACAGTGATATACGTTTTGACTAACCGATGAAGGTTTGTACTGTGTCAGTGTGAATTACTACTTTTTAAAAAAAAAAAAAAAAAATCAAACCCTAACGGATCTATTGCCACAACTGGTATGTTAAACTGAAAAACAACTCTAAGTGCAGACCAGGTCTCGGATCAGCTGTTCCCACATTTGGGTCATGACCCCATGTGTCTGATGCGAGTTCCTCTTTTGCAATTGAATTTCCAACAGGAATTGGACCCTTGAACAAAATATTTTCTGGAAAAGTACTAGGGAAATGTTAAATATCACTGGCAGACACTGCTCAGGGATGCTAGCTCACGTCTTCAGCATTTCCAAGCAAAGGGTGGACAAACCTTGAGAAGCACAGCTGTGCAAGGGCTGCAGGGACATTCTGCCTTAAGTACCTGATGTATTCTGCAACGCTTGTGGTCCTCAAAATAACCAAAACCATTATCTGAAGGAGGGGACTGATAGAAAGGAAAAATCTCAGCAGCCACAGTGAGTCCCAGTTTGAACTTGCACTGAGGACTTAATGAGATAGCCATCATGCCGTTACCCAGAGGAGAAAATGGGCTTGTTATTCCTGGGATCTTGAGAGGATTGAAGAGTCAAGATCTGGAGGCTGAGCCGTGTTCACTGAAATTAACAGAGCTCAGGTTGTGAAGGGCACTACATATCCTACAGAACACCAACAGCATCCAAGTGGTTTTGATTCTCCCACATTTCGCTTTCCCTGATGGCCCCATATGCCTTTAGAAACTGGGGCCCAGGGAACATTTTTCAGCAAAAGGTTGCCAGACCTGACTGTAAATAAGTTGCTCCACAAGGAAGGATGTTTCTATCTGAGGATTCAGTCATATATGCTTCGAGGTGCCTCCTCTGATCCTGGTTTTGAACGAGCAGCTCAAGCTTCAAGGCTTTTTCAAAAGGCTTTGATTTATTCTGCTCTTCAGAAACAAAGGAAAACACACAAAACTCTGGATGCCAAACACCTTTTAAGTCAGCCGTATATAGCTCACATCACCAGAGAAATAGCATACATTTGTCAAAGAGCACATCAACTCTGCAGAGGAGCCAGAAGCACAAACCCAAGTCTCTTTATTTGAGACTTGTGCCTAGCAATCAGCCAGTCCACCTTCAGGCCAGTCTTCCCCTTGCACTGGTTTACGAGCTTTCCCAGAATACAGGCAGCACCTTTACAATGTGGTGAGGAGCAATCTTAGAAAACAAACCCTGCAGCACAGCCACAAATGTCATTACTCACATATTCTTTGATGTCCTTTGATTTCACGGCTTTGTAAGAATAATATGCGGGATAAAGAGTGCCAAATATAAGCCTGGAAAAAAACAAACAAACAACAAATGGATTAAATTGATTTCCTGTCACAGAGAAAGATTCTTTTTTCCTGTCTGTTAAATGTGTTTCTTGCACTAGCAAAAAGTGTTAGGATTTGATTTAAGCTTGAGTGCACTAAGTATAGTACAGGAGTGATTTTGCATCACTGAATTCAGAGAAACTATTGCCAGTGACATGAATGAACAGCAGGGATTCCAGTTGACTATCCTTTTGCAATGGTTTCCATAACCTTGTGAGTTACACACAAAACAAAACAACCAACCAAATCCCCAAAAAAGCCACCACACTTTTAAAAGGAAATTAAAAACTTTATTTCAAAATAATCTACTGTAACACCAGGAATATAGGACTATTGCTTTCACAAGCAGGACAAAATGAGAATAAATTGTCTAAAATCCCTTCCACCTCTTTTCAATACTCTGAAAAGCTGGCAGAGGATAAAGCAGCATCCAAGTTCTACTGGCACAAGGGGTTGAATGCTGGGGCTTTATCCTCCATTAAATCTGCTAAAAGCAAGAGCCCTGCACTGTTCAGTAAAGTCGATTTGGGCTCATCAAAAGAAGAAAAATTTGCCCACCAAGATATGCCAATGGGATCAGGCCTAAGAGTCCCAGCTTTACTGTTCTTTCAGACAGTTTACTTTCTTTTTCAAGACTGAAAGTGGTGCTGTCAGCTTCAAGATTTCATGTAAGAAAGAAATAAGGATCCATAGTTAAAAATAGCACTACTGAGAAAAAAACATTGAGAATTTTTTATACTAACTCCTCTCTGCATCACTGCCTAGCTGCTTATTCACTTCAATTATTCTGGACATAAGCATAGGCTTGTCAAAACCACTTTGCTCTGCCCAGGTTTCAATCAGTTTTATTCAACACAGTAGGATGATGCTGCAAAGTCTGAATTTAATACATTGCAGGGGAACGTTTATTGGCTTGCAACTACCCCTCTTTCCACTGGAGCTTTTGCTTTAAATTCATACAGCTGTTTCCACAGCTCTTGGGAATGGAAATGATCAATGTTTCAATCCCTAATTGTGGAGCCACATGGACCCGCAGTCATCTCTTCCATCCTGCCAGTAGCGATTGTATGCTGTGGGACTCATAATTACAGTTGAGTCCATTATGTGCATAAGACATTAAAAATTAACACTCTGGGATATGGCGTACCATCATATTTCCTGTAGTTCAAGAAGGTATTTGTGAAAGAATGGGGTGAGCCAGCACACATCTTGATTTCCAAAGCAGTGACCCAAGACAATTTGCCTGCTATTCATCATGCTTACTGTAGCATAGCTTAGCAAAACCTGAAGCACAATGCAGACTTCAGAAAAACAGCTACTGAGAGGGAGGTTCAGTATTTACAGAGGCTTCACACTGGCTTCAAAAAGCTTTGCTGGAAACAGTCAGCTCTGAACCTATTTCACCCACAGGGGCTGTGCTATATGCAGGGATTAGGTACAAATGCTCAGAAAGGTTCTGGGAAAGCAAATGCATTTTCATCCCTTGCAATATCTTAACAAACAGCAACACTGGTTAAAGCAAGGAAGAACACACAGACAATAGCTTGATGCTGTTCCCACTGAAGCTAATAACAAATATTCCCTCTAAGTTCAACAGTAGCAAGACCTAATCCAAAGAAGGTAGAGCTCACAAAACAAAGAAAGCTCCACAATATTCAGAAAGTCACAGCTGAGCACATGAACAATATTTTTGGCTCTACTTATAAAAAGTACCACATTTCTGTCCTTCCTTCTTGGCCTGGGCTGGCTGTTATCTCATGCTTTTATTTCCTGCAAATAATCGCTGAATGATTGATATTCGTTTCCTCAGTTTGTGCTGGTAACAGAAAGTAACTGGATCCTGAAGAAGCAAACAGTTTACAGGATCACTAGAAAAGAATTAGTTGCAGACAATAAACACTTGAAAAAAAATTCCTGTGAGGGAAGGAAACTGCAATACTTTTGCACATGCAGAGCAAAGGACAGTTAATAAGGTGATGTGCTCTCCCTAAATTGGAGATTGAGAGTTTCACTGATTTGCCTTGTAGCATGTTGTGTGCATATATGGACATTTATTACTGCTATGGTTTACCAGACTGAAAACTGGTTTAAGGAATGTTGGATCCTAGTCTTGTCACTGCTGTGGCTTACTATGTGGCTTGGAGTCACTTAACCTTTGGGTACACCCTACAAATGGAAGACAACAGATATTCAGGCATTTCTGTAAAGCACATTCAGGGTTCTGGAGAGATATACCTGCACATAGTCATATTCCAAAAAGTCTCTTGAAGTTACTGTCTTCACTGGGCTTTGGATCAGGCTTGAGTACAACTGATTTAATTCAAACATACATGTCAACCCTCTCTCTCTTCCCTCACTTCCTCTCCCCTGCCGAAGACAACACTTCTCTCTTCCCCCTCATCCAAGCTGCCTGTGTAATTAAAGTTATCGTTGATTCCTGCCTTCCTTCATCCCCATGCTCAGACTGCTGCCAAATCACTCCTTCTGCACACCATACACAAAACCAAGGCTGATTCTTTGTCCCTCTGCCCAAGCCACTGAGTCATTCCTTGTCAAAGTCTCCTTTCCAGCCTCCTTTGTGTGGTTTCTACCCCACCTGGATGCACCAGTGTTTAAACCTCCCTCCCCCTGCCCCCCTGCCCTTGCCTTCCAAGCTGAATCTTTGCTTTCCATGCTGAAAAATGGTGCTCCTAACTACCGTTGGTTTGGTCTTTTATCACATCCCACCCCAGTGCCTGCTCTCCTTTAATGACTGTAGTGCCACCAGCTTCTTACTCTGCTGTTCCTTGTATGTCTTCTCCCAGCTCCTGTGCTCCTTGCTCTCCTGTTGCATATCAGCCCATCACCTCTAAAACAAGCTGTTCCCTGACAGTTATCCTGACAGCCCACGGTTTGAGAGGTAGCAGCTCAAGCCACAAATTCCAACCATGTCATTCCCCACTTCCTCCTCATCTCTCTAATCTTCTTCTGCAACACTCCAGTTCTACCTGATGTTCTCTGAATCACAGCACAGGACCTGCAGCTTTCCTCACACATCCCCAAAATCACAGCACGGTCTGTGCTGCTCAGTTCCTTCCCACAACTGCCAGCCGACCTAGGAACCACATGTGCTATGACTCCTTCCATCGCACATGCACTGACTGTCTGACTGGTGCCTGCCAGCTGGCAAGCCAAATTAACAACCTACCTATGGAGTTACCACTGCAGCTTTTACCTCCTGGCGGCCCCTGCTATGAGACAATCTCCTATCCAGCAGCTAATTCTTATGAATAATGCAGAAACTTAATATTTGAGAACCCTCTGACCCATCTATTTTGGCCACAATCACTTTGCTGATCCAAAAGTTAGCAGCAGTGGAAAAACAGACTGCTTAAGCCTCATTTCCTTAGGAAACCAGGCTATAAATACAGAGTCAACCCACTCCCCACCCATTTCCATCCTTCAAAGCTCCTTTACGAACTATGTACCCTGGAAAGCCTTGGCTCTTTCGCCCTCTGTGCAAAAGCAGAAGCACACATCCTGATCAGCAAACCAGGGACTCCCAGAGCTTGATGTAGTAGTTGCTACGTTTAAAGCTACAGAGATGTGTTCCTACAGTCTGGGCTAAAACAAACACATACCCTCAGGGTATAAGGAAAGGCAAGGAAGTAGTGACATTCATCAGCGAGTTAGGAAAACTTCACTTGCAGCAATAAACAAATAACCACAACAGTCTAAAAGTTCTTACACTGCTCCATGCTGGAGGTCTACATCAATTACAATCGCCTTGAAAAAGGACAAAACAGCAGTTGTAAAGAAATCACTGAAGAGTCAACTAATTGTGCAACAGGAGGCAAAAATCTAAGTAAAAGGTTAGTCTTCCTAAAGAATAGGATAAGGATTAATGCTGAAAATCTTATAATCCTATTAGGCACATCAGCAGCAGCAATCCCCAATCTGGACCGCTACGTGCGCTTCTGGTCATTCGCTGTCAAAAGGGACACGGCAGAGGGAGAAGGGGAAAGGAGAAGGGGCAATGGAAGTGCGTGGAAGTGGACTGGGGAAGATTCATAAGAGCGACTGTAAATGCTGCAGTAGTTTCTTTTGCACCAAAGACAAATAAGCGAGGTTATTTGCTCCTACTCCCAATGCAGCGTAAGGGGATGTTCAACTGAATCAAGAGAACAAAGTCAAAAAGGAGGGGAGAAACCCTCTCTATCACCTGGAGTTAACCTGTGGAACTTAATAACTATATTAATTTATATAATTACATTACATAGGATTTGGGGTTTGGTTTTGTTTTTCATTATTCAAGTTTACCACTAAAAGAGACAGGAAAGGGTGAAGCTTCCCATACTGTGGAGTTTCCTGATTATCAGGGGAATATTAAAGTAATTCAACTGTTGGCTCCTCTTTAGCATTCTCCCTCATATTCCAGGGGAGCAGCTGCACCATCACGAAACCTCCTTCTGTCTCCACTTACCAGTACAGCCACAGCCAGCCCTGGCTGTTACATCCTTCTATTCCTTCCCCAAATCTGCTAGCGCAGTGATCTGACCATCACAGAGTGCAGGCTAACCCAGATGAATCCATATCCCTAATAGCATCTAGGTTATAGCCTGGGGATCAGCGTCAGAGCTGGTACCAGGACCTGGGAGGGCCCCACCTGACGTCTTGAGTTCTGATGACCTGGTGATGCTATTTTCCTCATGAGGGGCCCAGTCCTACAGCCATTTACCTGTAAAATTAACTCTCACTTTCCATACAGCAGCCACCGAAATAAATGGAAAGACTCCCAGTGATTCTCAGGAGTACTGGCCAGGACTCACGTTACCTCCAGCAATGCCTGCATATCCATTGTCTTGAGTATTTTTAACCACACAGGTATTTTCTGGATGGTAACCTACTGCTACAAATATACCAGCACGGTGCCACTACATCCTAAGCCATCCAAGTTTTGCTCATCTAGTTACCATGCCACCAGCAGTGTTTGGGCTGCCCAAACATTTAGAACATCATACTACTACAACACAAATAGAACAGCCCTTATTTTGCCCATAAATAACTAATGTTTCCATATCATTGGCACACAGCAGCCAAGATGGCAAACTTCTGCTCAAACACAAGGATGGACACATTTAGGAATCACTAAAATATTTCCCATTTCCTCAACATGTTCACTGGCTAGTGCGTGCTTCTTACGCATGGAGCAGCAGCTGAGCTGTCACCACGCCAGCATTCCTCGCTGAAACCGCCAAGGGTGCCAATAGGTTTGCATTCCTTATTATTATCAGTCCTAATTAACGTTCACACAGTGCCACAGATTAAAAATAAACGGCACTGTCTTTGCACCAAGGGTTCCCAGTTTAAATCCAACAGGTGGGGATGTGAAAATAAGCAGCGCACAAGGTCAGGGAAAGGGTTAACACGAGCCCCTTGACAGGCCAAATGCCTGATATCCAAGAAGGGACTGGGATGGAGGAAGCACCAGGTGCAGAGAAGGCTCCAGGCTGGTATTCCCCGGTGCACGGTGCCTCAGTGACAAAAACATTCCCAGAGGAAAGCACTGGGTCCTGACACCCCTGAGACAGATCAGGCTCACTTCAAACTCTGTTTGCAACTCGAATCAAACATCCTCACGGGGTTGGTTCAGTGCTGCCAAGACGACCGTGCAGCTCTGCCCATGTCACTCGGCCAGTCGTGCACTGCCTCCACGGGTATTAACAAGGTGTAAAGCTCCACTTGAACAGACACCCAGCACATCCCTCTGCTTTAGGAAACATTCCTCCCAACCTCCTCGGTGGGTGACCCGCTTAGCCCTGCCTGCTGAGACCTTGTCCTCATGTGCCCTTCTGACGCAGCACGCACACCCACAGCACTGAGGAAGGAGAGGGCAGGCCCAGGAGAACTCGGTGTCTAACGCAAAGATGCTCTGCTTTCTCTCCAGATCCACCTCTGACTTCTCAGAGAGGCTACTCTCTAATGGTTGGACTGGATGATCTTAAAGGTCTTTTCCAACCTAAACGATTCTATGGTACTACAGAAGCCAACTGCAAACTTCACCTTGGTT